CTGATAGAGTGCATTACAACCTTCTTATCCCTTCCAACTATTGGAAAATTTCTGAATCTGACTTAATATTAGCATGCAAAAAAAAAATTTGCCTTGAATTAGCCATAAAAAATACATTATGACTGACATCATTTGATATTCATCTGTGCGTTCTGCTGTTCTCATCAGGTGGTAGTTGTATCCCGCAGTTTATGTTGGGCACTAAACATGAATGCACATTTGGTCATTATTATGGACACCCAGTTTTACGAGGGAAAAATGCATTCGTAAGTCTCTTAATCAAATGTGAGGTGGTCATGTCATATGATGATGTTTGTATCAATTAATCTTGCCACTATAATATACCTTTACATTATTTTGTGTTCCTTTTAGTTTTGAAATATAGAAGGGATAATTCAATTTCAACATTTCGGCCCCATTTGGAGAAAATCAAGTATTAATATTTTTTATTTTTTATTATCTAGGTATGTGGATTATCCCATTACAGATGTCCTTCACATGATAGGTCATGCTAACAGACCTCTATTAGATGATTCAGGCAAGGCTGTCATTCTCTGTCAGGCATCAAAGAAAGAGTTCTTCAAGAAGTTTCTGTATGAACCTTTACCGATCGAGGTAATTGTGTTAAAACAAAATATCGTACATAGCATATTGCCTGTTTTCAATTCTTACTTTAATTTGTCTTGCATGAATGGTCTGTCTTGAAAGGATGTGTTATGTAGTCTGTAGCAACTTGTGTTGCACTTTACTCAATATGTGCAGTTAAGCATTAAGCATACTGAAAGAAATTAACAGTGCTCAAATGAATGGCTTCAACAGATTATCAAACATGATTCAAAACCTAAAGTCATCTTTCATTGAAACGTCAAGAGGTCATTAGTAAGATTATTCTGTAGTAATATTATAATAGGTCTAGCTATTTTCGTGTTTCAGTCTCATCTTGACCACGCTCTACACGATCATTTTAATGCCGAAGTCGTTACCAAGACAATGGAAAACAAGCAAGATGCAGTGGATTACCTCACTTGGACATACCTGTACCGCAGAATGACACAAAATCCTAATTACTACAACTTACAAGGTTAGATGCCATATCATACTTTTATCTTGAGTAGTATTATCCAAACAAACACACCTTGACTCTCTCTCCTGTGAAAATAAGTAATAGTGGCAGCACAAGAAAATAAGTTTAACCGTGTTGTGCGAATCCTAGAGACAGATTGTGTATCAATGGCTTTCTCATTAAGGACGACACAGCTGTCTTTTAAAACCCTGTTTGAAACAGCTCTACCTAATCTTTTTGAATCCGACCCTTGTGCTAACACGCTTGATTCATTCCTATCCAGTGTGCCGTGTATGCAAAGGAATATTAACTGTCTGGATCTTTTACCAGCGTGAAAGAAATATTTACTGTTTTAATGTTAACTCTGTGATTGGATGATCCCTATGTATATCCTGCTGTCTTAATTGTAACCAAGCAATTTTGTTTTCTTTGTAGGTGTGACACATCGTCATTTATCCGACCAAATGTCAGAACTGGTGGAAAATACACTCAATGATTTGGAACAGTCCAAGGTAAACCTACCGTTACCCATCTTTGGGGTTGTGTTTATATATGTGTATATGTTGGGGGGAGAAGGGTTCTGGGTATAGGTGAGGGTAAGGGTTTATGCTTCCGAGATGTTAATGACGGACTTCTATTGAAGGTTCATTGAATGTTGAAGAAATATTTATGTTATCAATCCAATCATCCAGTACAGTCATAACTTTATTCATATATTTTTTTCCTACTTTTCTATTTCCATTTCAATTGCCATGTTAATTAATTACAATAACAAAATCCTTAAACTTATCTATAGTCCAACTCAGAAACTGAGTTTGGCTATAGTTAAGGCAACCTTATCAATGTGTTAAAAACAGTTAGAAAACTCATTAATAATTCATGAAGAAAACACAATAGAAATCATGACCATGAAGGTGATTTTATATCGGATAAAGATTCCTCTTCATTTGCATAAACTTTAACTTGGATTTTCTCTATCAAACTTGGTTCATTTCGTAAAAAAATCGGTACACAATGAGAACAAACATCATAAGTTTTCTAAGCCGTTCGATGATCTCGCAGATCGTGGTTTATCGGGTCTAAAACCACTCGACTGCGCCTCGTGTTTTATACCCGATAAAACACTCCTGCTCGTTTATTAAACATTACTTAAAGGCTGCTCATCTCGATTTGCTTGAATCTTGGATAAATAATACTGTTGTAAAGCTTAATTTGATATATATAATTATATATATACGTATATGTGTAAATTGGTAATAACGATACTTGTTGTTGAATAGAAAACGTGCGCGCGTGCTGTGTGCAGTCATAAAGCACGCAGAACAAGAGAGAAGTGTTAGGAGAAGCACGACGCGTAGCGGAGTGCTTCTGGACACTTCTCGAGTGTTCTGCCAATCCCCAAGTGCTTTCTCATAAAGCACGCGCTCCAAACCAATCAGAACGTGACATTCATAACAGTTATTTTATAAACAAATTTGAATTATGGTTTACATGGTTTACCTAAAGGTTATTTTCAATTTGTTTTCTTATAATGGCCAGTATTAATGGCAAGCATTTAGTTACAACGAATATACAGTCAGTAACATGTTGGAAATATAAACCTTCATAACTTAAATACGTATCTTTCAAATCAAGACATATTTTACCATTCAACCATTTCCATCAAGTAAAATCAATACTGAAAGTATTTTTGAAGGTTTATGTGCACTTATCGGGCCTGAATGAGTTCTTGTTTTACCATGTTTAGTGCCTTAATATTGAAGAAGAGATGGACGTGAGTCCACTTAACCTGGGCATGATTGCTGCCTATTACTACATCAATTATACAACTATTGGTAAGTTAATTTTACTTAGCCCATGACAAAAAGTCCACCTGACAATACATAGCAATAGTTAATTCCATTGTTTTACTTTGATTGGTAGTCACGAATAGTATACAACTTTGAAATTGAAATAATATTTTAAATTTTTCTTTTTTTCAATATTTTTTGATTTTTTATCGAGAAACGGGCGTTTTTTCGCCATTTATCATTTTATTCTCTGTAATTGAATGAATTTATTCAATTTTCGTTGGCTAATTCGTTGAAGCTAAGAGAAAGTGAAATCACGTGGTGGTTGCTGGTTCGATTTCTGCGGACGCCCAATTTGAATTGAGTTCGTTCTATTCTCTTCCTGGTCACGAGGGTTTTTCTCCAGTTTTTCTACCTCTAAAAGCAACATGTGAATTGAGATTCGTGCTCTTAAAAACATTATATCTAGTGGTAATAAGTGTCGAGTATGTTTTATACTTAAAAGTAGCCTATAAAAAAAGAATGCGAGACTACGAAGCTGACACAAAAATCCTAAGTTAACACTCAAAAATAATTGTTGTAAATTGTATATTCGAATTATGTTGAATATTAGAACTATTCAGCGTGTCACTGAACGCCAAGACGAAACTGCGTGGCCTGATTGAGATCATTGCTTCCGCCTTCGAATATGAAGGCCTTCCCATCCGCCATCACGAGGAGACAACTTTGAAACAGGTAATGCATCTTGATAACTATTTCTAACGTCATTCATTGTAATGACACTAATCAGCGCAAAATGCGGTGTACTTTAGCTGTGGTAGAATATATGATAGGAGTGACAATGTTTTATGGGAATATACATCAAGCTGGAGGCGCACCCCACTATGATTATTGTGTTATGTTTAACAAAGCAAAGTGCAGGTTTTTTAATCTTAAAACGTGAGAATACTTTTGAAAAGGATCTGGAAGTCTTCAAACAACTAATTTAGCAGTTTCATTGCCTGCCAGCTATCCATCCTTCCCACCTCTCAAGCCAAACCTACAGGTTATTAGTAATGTGTCGGATTCTGTAAATTCGATACAAAATACTAATTAGCTGAGCTGTGAATAATTTAAATTGTTCTCAAATGACCCCACACACTAGTTCGATTTCTTGGGTCTCAACTTAAAGAATTGTTAACRAATATGGTAATAATGGATATTGCCTAGTCAAGAATGCAGTTCAGTGTTTTGACTTTTGACAGGGCGGGACTTTGTTTAGTACTGATTTGTAGGCAGTTATTTCCAAATCTCGGCCAATCAAAACGACGGGAAAAATAATTCGAATGATCATTATTTTATTGTTCTTTTTTAGTTGTTAAATCGTGTTGTCCATAAAGTATCCAATCCCAAGTTCAATGATCCACACATCAAAACAAACCTGCTGATCCAGGCTCATCTATCCCGCATGCAATTATCACCTGAACTACAGTCAGACACCGAGATGATCCTTAGCAAGGTCAGTAGCTCTGTATAAACAACATCTCGTCAGTGATAATAGTTTAGTCATAACGATCTTCTCGTTTTTTATTTTTACAGGCAATGCGTCTAATTCAAGCTTGTGTAGACGTTCTCAGTAGTAACGGATGGCTGTCTCCCGCACTTGCTGCCATGGAACTTGCCCAGATGGTAAGTACCACATGATATATAACATAGATGGAGCACAAGCTAGTTCATAAGCCATTGCAGGGGTGTGCCACTTTTTAAAACGTTCCCATTCATAATTCCGTTTGTGTAATTGCTGTTAAGATTTCTGCTTCTCCTTAGAAAGAAACATATACGATCTTATTGCCGCGGTGGAGACAAAGGTCGACGCCATTATTTGAGCCCACATGTGCGCGCGCACTTATACCGCTCAAAACCGCAAATGGCCAAAATGTTATTGGTTAAGGTCCATAAACGTTTTGAACTTCAACAAGGCAAAACCCTCAAATTTAGCGCGAGACTCGATAATTTTTATACCGAATTTCCGGTAGGGTACATAAAAAATAAAACTCTGACAACGTTTGAAAAAAAGGACACGAGTTTTACTCATAGAAAAAGCGGTAAGCGTACATTTTTCGCACTTCTTTTAGACGAAAATTGACAAGCAGAAGATGAATGAAAATATTAAATTTCACTTTATTTCTCAACATTTTCCAAATCTTTTCGCTGGTATTTGTAAAAATTGTATACTTAATTTAGGATTCCTGAATTTATTCCTAATTTAGATTTACTCTTGACGTTTTGGATTTTTTCGTAAGACGTATTTTATAGTGCTTCTTTTTCTTCAAAAGTTGTTGATACGTTTATGTTTAATCGTGAATATCTTGTGAAAGACTTTTGCGACACCCCTTTTTTTGCAGATTGAAATCGGCTTTAAGTTTGTGATTCAATAATTTTTGTGTGGATTCTTTCTATAATAGCCAGCCACCTTAACAGGATCTTGATATTCATCCACAGGTAACCCAAGCAATGTGGAGCAAGGATTCGTACTTGATGCAGATTCCTCATTTTACTCCAGAGATCATCAAAGCGTGCACTGAAAAGGTAGATCTCTCGAACAGTTGGTTCGCATTTTCTTTCTATCCGTGTGTGTTTTTTTTGTATAACTTGAGCAACTGTACATACAGGAAAAAAAAACTTTCAAACAATAATCAATTTTATTGAACTTCATAATGATCCCTCGGCTGATTAGTCTCCCCCACAGCCGCTTTCAGTGTCGTCACGCAACGCTTTCTCCTCTGAGTACGACACTGAAAAACGGCTGTGGGGGAGACTATTGGCTGATGTAAGTTAGAGCACAGTTAACTAACAGATAAAATTAAAGGTTAGCGTGTTGGAGTTCATAGTGGAAAGAGGGAAACTGTAGTCCCGTAGAAAAATCCTCGATTCAAGGAAATACCCAACAAACTCTGCCCAAATGCCATGCCTTGTCCAGGAGTCGAACCCGAGATCAAGAGGTGACCGAGCCCAACGAGTGTATTTCCTCATGCTAATCGCCATAATCACCCCGCCCCGCCTATTGAATAAATAGAAGCCACCCAATTGCCCTTTGACATATCTGATTCACTGAATAGTTCATAGTATTTCTTTGGGGGATTATAAATGATTAGTAATCGTCGATGTCAAAATTATTTGTAATTAGAATGTCGAGTCTGTGTTTGATATCATGGACCTAGAAGATGAGGAAAGAAACAAATTGCTAAAGCTGGATGACAGCCAAATGCAGGTAACCTTGTCAGTTGACTATTCTGCAATTCGTGTTTTAATGATGCATTGAGGAAACGGCGTATTGGTATTTATTATTGTTTTTGTTTTTGTTGCAGGATGTTGCTCGATTTTGTAACAGGTACCCCAATATAGAGATGTCTTATGAGGTTTTGGACAAAAAAGATTTGAAGACGTAAGTATTGGTATTCATCATCAGTTATTAGTCCGGTAACACAGTCTCCTAAGCTATATACAATTTGCCTGCACGTGTCGTAAATTAATGAGAGCAACCACTGATCGAGCGAACAAAGCTTGCAGGCATTTAGAATCTACCCTGGCCTGGCACTTTCAAAATATCGATGCCCAAAATAGCAAATAAACGAGAAAACACTACATAATGACGAAGGTTTATTTGGCTGGGCCCTCAATTAGGAAAACAATTTGAAACCACGTGTGTCGAAAACATACCTTGAGGCCTCAAAAACACAGACTCATACATAGATGTTCGGTATGATGTAGTTTTAAAACTAATCTGCTCGTGCTCTTTTCAAGACGCGTGTGAAACAGCATTGATTAAACGCATCATAGATATTTTTTAACATTGTTGCTGTGGGCTCCCTGTGTTCGTGGGGAGGGGAACTTTAAAGAAAAATGGGTTACCCTAGCTTAATTTGGAGACAATCAACAATTAATGGATGCCAACGCGCGAAAATTTGTCTGGGTGGCCTTGTTTGGTGTAGTCCCACTGTATAAAGTAAAAACTAAAAAGTCGGCTGTAAAATTTGAGGGTTGTAGAAGGCACAAATGTAAAAACTGGACCCAAATGTAATAAGGGTCACAAATGTAATAAACTTTGGTCACAAATGTAATAAACTTTGGTCACAAATGTAATAAAGGTCAAAAATGTACATGTCCAAAAACCCAAAAGAAATCTTATGTATCAGTCCAAGTAAAAAAA